GGATGTTTGTGTGTGTGTGTGTTTGCTTGGCTTCATCTATTTGGCTCTGAATGTAACTATAGAGACAAAGAAACTTGGAAAATGTTGATGGAAAACACCAATAACTTGGTTCAGAAGTAAACCTGGGAAACTAGAGACATGGAGACTAGTGCTTTCTATCTCATGAGAAAATTCAGGCTCCTAACCTTCCCCTTCTCAGGACAAAACTGGACCTTAGCATTCACTGCCCCATTCTCATGGAGGGGAAGCAATCAAGGCAGATTCCATGTTTTTGCATAAAAGTAAATCAAAATAATAACTAAGCAAAAAGTGTCCTGTGCTTGAGGACTATGGGAGCTAGAGAAGCCATGGGGATGCTGACTCTCTGGTGCCTTATTTGCCTCCACTAACATGGTTACTCACTTTCATTCTCAATACCAGAGCTCTGCCCTGGGAACTACTACTTAGAATTTTAAAACCTGAGCCTAGAATATATCTGAACAACAGCACTCATATGGCAAGGCATGGATCTCTTTCTAAAATTGTTAGAATTTTTCATTCTCAAAAATCCAACTGAAACCTCTAGTTGATCAGTACATCATATGTTATTCAAATGCTACTCCATCATTTAAAACACAGGGTCCATGTTTCATAGAGTTTCAAGGGGGCCTGCAGCTCTATGTCATCCTTGGAGGCATTCCTCTGGTGGTCTGTGCTTGCCTCTGTGCTGAATGAAAAGACCATATCCAGGCACTGGTCAGTCAGTAACCCTCAGAGCTCAGGCTCAGGCTCCTGCCAGCTTGGACTTGGTGATAGCAATGTCCAGTGGGCCATGGAGCTATGAACACACCAAGAGAGGAGAGTAGACACCGGTGCCACGATAGGGAAGATAGAGCTTTTCTGATCTAACTTTGTTCAGCAACTGATTTTCAAACTAAATTCCTGAATCTCATGGTTATATCCTTAATAAGGAAACCGAGTATTCATAATGTACATCATAAAATGAAAAGCAGAAAAGGGAACATTTTTGGTGATAATACAGAAAAGATTTAAGGAACTACCAATATCATTTTTGAGATAGTTTCTTTCTTAGTTCTGAATCTTGTGAAGACTCAACCATACCAACGTGCTTACTATGTGAAGCTGAATCAAGGTCTGTCCCAGTTGCAGATGGGTACAGATGCTACCATGAACACTGTTCCATCCAGTTAGCTAACCAAATATATAGATAAATGCAAATATGTGCTCACATATTTAATAAAATAAAATTCAGCTAAACTATCCTGTTGGATAGTTTTGAGATTTTACAAAATAATACACAGTATTTGAAAAAAGAGTCACAATTGTTTCCATAATGCAATGGAACTAGTAAGGGGAATGAATATTCTAGAGAAGTTGCTATTGGTTTCAGCTGTGGCCTCTCCGTGCCTTGCATGGCAAGTGGCTTCCTTAGCTAACTTTCATGGATAATTAATGTGCAGTCACTGTCCTTATCTCACACCATCGGTCATCTTATTGCTGTTCAATTCCTTTTGGGTATTTTCTACAGGGGCAGTTTCATCAATAACTGTCACCAGGTGATAATTTTATAAATCATGAAGCCGTCTACTCAATCCAATTTATGAAGAAAGTGCCTCATCTCTGATTGACTGATTGTTACCTAAACCCTTGCCACCATTCAGCGTAGATGATAGTTCCTTTGTAACAGCATGGCTTGTTCCTAATGGTCTCTATCACAGGTATGTTTATGCACTAGCCCTGACTTCTACACAAGTGTTGTTTCCACTGTCATCTCCTGTATCTGTTCTAATGACATCACATTTAGCAGTTTTATGTATCTCTCAGACAAATATTTTATTTGTTTTATAGACAAATTATCACATGATAGAGTTCTAGAACAAACTCTTAAAATGTGCATTGGATGTAAGATTTATAGAGATTTACAGTATAACAGACTATCATCAACATCTCTCACTTAGCTCACATTTGCCTGAAGCAACTTACGTTAGGTAGAAATATTACCTTTACCATAGTATGGCTTTTTGACATGGCTGTCACTGGATTTGGATTTTCTGTCTTCCCCAGTCAGCTGTCTTGGAGACTGGTCCTCATAGGATCTCAGGTTATCCCTTCTCCCAGCATCCATGGCCATCTTCTCTCGCATGGCCTTGGCTCTCTCTGTCTCCAAGGCAATGGCTTTCTCTAGCAGAGTCAGGTTGCCCTTGGTCATGTCAAACACTTCCTCAGACCTGTCTGAGTTCACTGAGGTGGTGTCATCATCCCTCTCATGACACCCATCCTCCTTGGCACAGCTGGAGAACGTTCTAGACCTGGGGCTTAGCTGCTCCTCCAGCCGCATAAGGTTCATCATATCCGAGTAGCTCCTGTCTGGCGTCCTCCCAGGGAAGTCATCCTCTTGCCGGACATGTTGGCGCACACTCATGTTGGGTGGCTGACTCCTGTCCTGCGGGTTGGTCTCGCTGAGTTTCCTGGCCAGGTCAAAGCACTGGTTCCTCAGACACTCTAGACTACTTAGACACACTTCCTCATCACTCTCCTCCACCATCTTCTCCATGAGTCCATTGTTCATGGGCTTCCCTAGCATGACATAGTTCATATTTCTACTGTCCTGCTGCGACATTCCCTCAGCATAACTTCTGTCACTGATGTTCTCTGATAGCACAACACCATGTCCTTGTGCTAACAGCTTAAGGGAGTCCACTGTTTCTCTAACAACATCACTGTCTAAGTCGAGACTCAGCTCACTTTTCCGACCAAGGTTTTCATTTTTGTCACTATCGTCCTCCAGACTATTGGAGGTATTGCTGTTCATTTCTGACTCAGTCCTGGCCCGGTATGCTGCGTCCTCAGCAATTTTGCCAAGATTTAATAGTGACTTAGCTACCAGTTCATCATAGTTATCATACTCATCATTGTTGTTATCATCCTTGTCAGTGTCCTGCATTATTCGAGTACAACTCATTTGATGATCTTCTGCAAAGAAACAGAGAAGACAAAAAGGAAAAGAGAAAAGTGGCTAGACCATGAAGTTTATTGCTATAGTGTGGACAGCAAGCTCACAGAAAGTCAAACCCTACTTTGGCCTAGAAGAAAACCTTCTAAGACATCTGCTGCTGGGTAGCAAATGTAGACATAAAATGAATCATGTTAAAGAGCAGGAAGCCACTTAAGATATTCATGGAGCACTAAAACCACCTCTAGTTAAACTTAAAGTTAGCCATTAGATATGATAAACATAATGTAGAAATATATATCTTTATTTTTAATATTCTCATTTACCTCCTGCATTGGCTTTATTCACAGCCAATAGTTAGCATACCGATTACAACCATCCCATCACCAAGCTTTCTACAAGTTCTTGAACTTCCCTTTTTACTAACTCTAGAGGTTCTCTGTAACCCTTTTTAAGTAATTTATTTCCAACCATATTTAGGCAACATAGAAGACAACCCCAGATTTCTGGAGTCCCATAGGGAGGACACTCCGTCATAAGAACACTAGATTGAGAGGTTTGAATTTGATAGCTTCCAGTCAGTGTATGGAGGCCCATAATGAAGTGACAGGAGCTCCGCAGTGACATGAGGAAGGAAGAGCTCACAGGCTGCCTATCTTCTGTCTGGACAGGTTGGGCATGCACAGTGGACACATGTCCCTGGGTCAGAAGGGGCTGGTTAACTGTGGCACTCGTAGTCTCTCATTTAACTTGACCTGTGGTAGTAATATATTCACCGATCTCATCAGCTTGAAGAAACTTGAATAAGATGTACTCAACCTCAAAATACTTAAAGTGTTTTTCAAAGTCCATGTTAAGCATGACGTAAACCCTCTATTTCATCAGAAACCCATTTGGCTTTCACTCAGAGAGCGGTTGGAATTTGAATCTCTATTCACAGCTCTACACAATTGCTGTCATCTGCATTGCGAAACACAGATAATAATAAATGAGTTTTCAAACACATTCCCCTTTGGTTGGATAGTTAATGGATGCCATTTCACATCTGTCCTTTGTTTCCATGATTCAAATGCCAGAGAACTTTCAGAGTTTGATAATGATTTGGAGGAATGAGGCATATCGACTAGTTGCAACACCAGCTGACTAAAGCTGAGATACTGAACCTCTGGTGCTTTCATTATGGATTTTATGCAGAAAAGGTTCATGTTAGCAAAAAAGAGATTTGGAGCTCAATATAGCAATAACTGAAAATAGCATCCCACCTGGAGTCAACAAATATTTAGGATCTGACCCACTCTCCAAACAGCAGTATGTGTTAGTTAGAGGGCATCACTTGCTGTGTGAACCAGATTCTGTGTCTCTCTAGACACAAACCTCTTCAGTTCACTACACTCTGCCTGTACCATTTTCCTTATTATAAGGGTAAAATCGTCATCAAATAACAGCAAAAAAAGGAAAACGGAGCTAGCAAACATCACAAATGTGGGAAGGCTAGCCGCAGATGCACACCTTGTTGTCGGCTGGTAGCTCAGCTTTGAGGAGTTAAGGACATCTTGTTCTCATGAGGTTTTGGAAATATGATTTTTATATTCTTTTGATTTATACACTTCATTAGGTTCATGGGCTGTAACTAGATCATCCTTGGGAAGTACAAAGGTATTCTATCCATACATAGCAACTGTGATCTTTTAGGTAATTGTTGCTATTATCTATAGAGTATCAACCAGGAGATGAATTTTAAACCATGATTTGGAAGTGAAGAGTATGTGCTATAAGTTGAAAAATTAAAACCTTTAAACATTATATTTCATTTGTGTATCTTTGATTATGTGTAGGTACATGTGCCAGAGTATATGTGTGAAGGTCTGAGGACAGTTTAGGGAAGCTCTTTTTTTTCCCTGTGGGAAGTTCAGTTGATAAAGTGATCCATGAAAGCAGAAGGATCTGAATTTGATCCCCAGCACCCACATAGAAGTCAATTGTGGTGACATATGCCTGTAATCCCAGCACTGAGGAAATGGAGACCGAGCATCCCTGGGGCTTGGTAGCCAGCCAGCCTCACCTAATTACTGAGCTCAGTTCAGTGAGAGGCCCTGTCTTTAAAAATAGGGTGGAAAGTTATAGAGGAGGACACTTCTATTGTGCTCTGACTGCTCTGTACATGCAGTGAATATGTATACCTGTACACACATGTATACTCACGTGGACACACAAAAGGAGGAGAAAGTCAATGACTGTAATAACCTGGGGAAAAAATCCTATGTAATCTCTGTTGCATTTCTAAGCTCAAAAATGAATTCTGCTCTGGAAAAGGACAAGGCACTCATGAGCCTTAACTAGCAGATGGTAGGTGCAATGCTGTTGACTCTCCGTGTAAGCATCTCAGGATCATCCTCCGGTTTTTGCCTGCCCTGCTTTCCACATGGCATGGCTAAGGAGTCCATCTCAGCCATTTACTATTATTCTGTCACCTTTCCCCCAAGAAGATGAAAAAGAAAAATGGATAAGCTGCCCTACACAGTATCCCAGCCATGCTGACCCATGAAACTGTGGAACTGTGAGACAGGGTTGGTCCCTTCTCTTTTTGAGTACCAAGATAGTGCCAGTCTTTCTCCAACATGGGTAGCAGGCCTGAATCCCACAGGGAAGTACATTGGGAGAACACTGCACATGCTCTGATGGTCTTGGGAGGCAGATATGAAATTGGAAGTTATGCAACCAGCCCCATCATTCTTTCACTGCTTAGTAAGTGCATGAGGACAGTGACCTTTCAGAGTCATAATGAACTCATCTGTAAGGCAGGGATAATTATCTGCCTGCCCCCTCCCTGCAAATTCCTACAAACCCCAGAGTGAGGCACACAGACTACATGTATTTCAAATGCCTGGCATGGGCGGTAGTTGTTTTCTGATACTTTCTCTCCCAGAACAGATGCCTGGAAAAACTAGCCTATTCAAGGAGGGAATCTGGAAACAGGCGATAGGGAATGCATCTGAAGACAGAGCATGCTGCACGATTTGGCCTTTCTTCAAGTTACTAATACTCAGTGTCATCTGAGGCCTCATGAATGACAGCAGCAAATGTGGAAATGGCTGAGAAAATGACATTTAGGGCCAAAATCCTTACAGTTTAATAGAATTCCACGAGTTACCAGTATTTAACTGTTTCAAGGCCTCCCCTAAAGTTAACTCCTAATTATGTGGACTAACGGAGGGAAACAGGCTCCAAGTCATTAGCAAACTGATTCTAAACAAGTACTGTCTCAGCCTTGCCTAGAAGGTCATGGGAAGTATTGAGAATCCCATGTCTGGTTTTCCATATTCAGTTAATTTACCAGCTTGTTGTCTTTCTGCTGAGGCCAACATTAAAAAGACTCCATCATAATTCTGGGTTTTGGCAAACAGTCTAGAATTTTCTGTACCAGTCAGGGACTAAAAATGAGGTACAAATATTCTAACTCACAAAACTTTCAGGAGTCAATATTACTTGTTTCTCTCTAGTGATTAATGTTCTCTCAAAGTCAGGGGATACATTTGTGATGAATAAAGCATTTTCCAGAAAATAAATACACATGCTTCTGTTCTCAGTAAAAAGTAGGAACATGGATACTACAGTGTGCAGAGAAGAGAGAATGCTGTGTTCCCTCTGTTGTACTATGCTTGAGATTAGTCATTCCACAGAGTCCCAGGGCCAAGCCGAGATAGGGGCCACCTCTCAACCCAGGTGTTCCCAGGCAAATCAGAATTTTCATGTGGGAATGGAAATCAGAGAAGCTTAGGTTGATCTACTTCCAAATGATGACAGTGAGCCTAGAGATAGAGGTGCTTTTGTGGTTGAGTCCAGATCTGCCTATGTGATCACCAGACAGCCACCAGCATCATTGTTAACTGCTATTACACAAGTGATGTTTCTTCCTGTGAGGGCTTTATAAATGCTGTTGTCACAACTCACCTCCTCTGAGTGTGACTGCTAGAAATATTTTTATACTACACAGAGAACAGACAGAATCACTTAGTTGGAAGATTTTCCTAGAATGGCTGGAATTCTATGCACTGCCTTTGTAGTAGAGTTTGTCTCTAAAAAGCATGTCTGAGATAGAGCTTCTTAAATATTTAGTACTGATCAAGTCACATAGATATATATTACCCATAGACAGTGAAGAACAGGCCATGCTTCTTGAGTGTGTGTGTGTGTGTCCAATAAAATTTTGAACACAAAGCCCAGTCTTATGGTGGCAGAAATCTATTTGTCCTTCCTAATCTTTGTGGAGACCCCAAGAAAAGTTCTCTAGTGGCTACTGCTCTTGAAAGGCAACAACAGAAAGCCACAAATCACATGTGTTCAAGTGACAGAACTGAAAGACCATACTGAGATGCTCTGCATGTTTGCTTTACCAGTCTTCTGCACTGCCTGTTTCCATAGCAACCAGACTGCAGTCTTCTTGGAAGAGGAACACAGTGAGCTTGGTGCAGACAAGCAGCTAGACACCTAGCTCTTTCTCATCAGATGAGGCAGAGCTCTGCTGTACACCCCATCGGGTGCTGACTGTTATTCTCAGCATCTGTCTTCTGACTCTCTCTCCCTTTGATACTCTTCACTGGGCTGGCATGAATTGAGGACATATTTCAATCACCACCTTTTTGAGATTTGTGCCAGGGTTGCTAGCTCAGCTGGCCTGCCACTGACCAGTGTCTTGACTAATGCAATTTAGGTCCCTTTGGGTTTGGAAAGGTGTATTGGTTTTCTCATTGTTGTGACCAGATACTTGACAGAATTAAGTTAAAGGGGAAGGATTTATTTTGACTCATAATTAAGATGATGCAGTTTCCTATGCAAGAGGTTGCTACAATCCATAGTGGTGAAAGCATGCAGGTAGGACCTTTCACAACCCAAGAAGCAAAGAACAGAGAGTGCTGGCACTCACCTAGCTTTGTTTTATTTTATTAATTTATTCCAGCACTCTACCCTATGAGAAGTATCCCCACTCCCCATTCGGGGTGGGTCTTCCCTCCTTCTTAAA